AACATTTACTAACATTTACTTACGTTTACTTTTACAAACAATAACTAACAGTCATCATTTTATTGATAATTTATTTATAATTTTTTACTTGCGTAACAGTAATGCTCATTATTAAGCAGGCCCATTGTACATGCTCTTCGAGCTCGTAATAAATTTATTTTTGTGTTGACTTCTATATATATTCCTTTCCTCTTTGTACAAATTCTTCAATGTGTGGATGTTTGTTGTATTCTGTAAAAGTGGAGATCCCTCAAGAGCAATATTCCAAAGCAAATATTTATTGTTGACACTTGCAGTCTCTATTTTCTTTGGAGTCTAATCATGAGAGATATCAAGTTGAATGTTGATGCTGCACATCAAAGACGCCGCCAAATAATGTGAACAGCATTGAAAATCATTCTCTATTACTGTTGAATATCCGAAGCACAAATCAATTTTTTCTCCATGTTCTTGGTATGTGCTCTTTGTTTAATAATAAGTTACATATTTTTGTGAAAAGTAGAGCATAAATTCACAAAGTAATGCCAGGTCTGAAATTCTTAAATGTTTGTCTGTTGCGACAAAGACTGAAACGTCTGGTCGAATCAAAATAAATTGGATAACATATAACATTGAAATGATTGGTATACTAAAAATAAATTCAAGACAATATGTGCCGAGAATAGACCCATTTAAATATTGGTACGAATTGCATAATGAGGACAAACTGTTCTGCAGTGATCTTCCCTTACAGGCCGTAGCGTTACCGGTTTGTTGTACTTTCTTAACGATTGAGGGAGAATCGCCTCTCTGGTAGTAGGCGTGGTTTAGGCTTTGTAACTTGTTATTTAATGATTCGACAAGTAATATTGATCAAAGTTGTCCTGGTTCCCTTTTGCCCCGTCAACAAAGACTAAATGCTAGCATAGAGTGCATAATATCAAATTTAATATGACAATTTAAGGCGGAGCGAACTTCAGCAGAGGCGAAGCAAAAGAAGTAATTGACACTGCCTCAGTCGCCACCTCTCCGAACGGTACAGTTTTAGAACAATCGACTATAAACTGGATCATTGGCACGTTATATATTATGTAGATAAAATTAGATAATGATAAAAAGAATATGATATTCAAACATGGCACTATCACTTCATTAAAACGTTTATTCTAATCACTTAAAGCTCTATGACATGTTGTACATCAGAAAAGCTATTTGTATTAGAAAATTTGAAAACAATGTGATTTTGTTAAACAAAAAAACAAAAATACACAAAATCAAGTCTAAAATTTTTCCCATTGCTGTATGGACAAATGCATATCTACTAGACGCCGCTTATAAATTAAAAACAAAAGATTCATAATTTGCGATATAGGGCCTTTTCTGTTCTAATGTTGTTTAAAACAGATTGTAGCTTAAAGATTAAAGTCAAATAGATCAGTGATATCTTTTGTGTAGATCAGCTACGCAATGCGCGGGTCAGTGATTTCCCGCTAATATTACAAAAATTTTCAAACAATATTTTTTTTTGTGTTTATTATTTTTATCAGAGACATAGGTAAAAGTGTTGAGTACGTTTAAAAAAATTATTTAGTGACACGGCGGTCAAGTCCACTATAACGGTGTAAAACAGTTATCATTTTTTTTACATCAACTGCCCACGTAACGCATTAGGTAAGACTGTCAGTTAAATTTCTAGTTGAATATCAATGCAAGGCAGGTTCGATTCGCAAAAATATTTTTGTATGAATAATATGTTTATTTTTACTGTGTTGTGTTACTTTTATTTTCTTCTCATTTCATTTTTTTTCTTTTGTTTTCAATGTACGCATATCTAGCAAGTTGGTGAAACCTTATACTGCATACAATTACACAAATTGTTTCAACTATAGTTCAGTTGGCTCGCAATACTCGTGCACTACAAAAGTACTATGATTACAACATACTACAAAAAACAAAGGATAAAACAATTTACATGTCTTTTGTCATGTGTAATCTTATTTAATTAGAATAAAGTCCACACTCGTATTTGTTTACCTAATTTCACAAGAAATATGAATGATACAAAAGGTATTCCCTACACATTTAAAGTAATATGTGTATTGTATATAATTATATATGTAAATATGATTTTTATTATACACTAGGACGAAAAAGAAACGCCGGGTAACCTATAATGATGGTTTTAAGGGATAAATTGTATTATTGGATTATTATATTCATTTTTGTAAGAATTGTCATCTGTATGGAACCAGCTGTTGAGGTTTCAATCGATTTCCGATGCTGATTATGTGAAAAAAATACCCCCTTTTAACGATGACCCTTCTTGTTTTGCGAAACACGGCCGTACATATCAGTATCTTGTTTGTCCTCCATGCGCAGCTGGGGCAGACCTGATCCGTCTATGCATGGAATTCACCAGGGTGTTAATCATGGCCATGGGGATGTTATTCCATTCTTCATGCAAGGCATGTGTGAGCTGGACATGATTAGTGGGGGCATTTGGACGTCTCCTTACCCTCCTATCCAGTTCGTCCCACAAATGTTCCATTGGGGACAAATCTGGACTGAATGCTGGCCAATCGAGTGGGTGTATGTTACTGTTGGCAAGAAATTGCTGGCAAACTTTGGCGACATGGGGTATTATATAAATCTGACCGATTTTCATTATTTTAGGCCAAGCAATAAAATATGTGTTGCATATTTTATGTACCTGGCGTTTCTTTTTCGTCCTAGTATATTTACGTATGTAAGCTTTGCTAACATATCTCATATAATTCTGTATAAAATGGCATGTGTACTTTTACAAGTATTATGCATGTTTTGATAATGTTGTATATGTTGTTAAATGCTTAGTATCTGACAGACATGCGGTCAAATGTAAATTATGCAAAGGAATTAATATTGTCGATAAACATTTGTTTATTAAATATAGTTTCATATGATTGCCGTGTTCAATAAGTAATATAAACACTAATGAACTTAAAGTGGTTACCAGGGGTCTGTAGGGTGCTTAAATATAATGTGAAATGTATGTCGGTCAAAAGTTATGTATACATAGCTTATGTTTTTGTGATATGTTTATATATATAAATTTGATTCGATTTGATTTGATACTCATATACATGTAAATACAATTACATTGGCTAAACTAAACAGCTTCTCACTTCCCTTTAAAGCGTGCTCGTCGCTGGCAATTGGCATCGGAAAAATATTTTAAGACTTGAAATGGCGAAAAAGAAACCAGAACTTGAACTTGAGGAGTCGTTTTTAATTCTTTTCAAACTTTTACAACATCAAAAATTTAGGGTGCCAGGCCGCCAACTCCACAAAATGATAGAATAAAAAGATCTTTCAAAGTAATTTTTTTTCTTTTTGTTTACCTTTTAAATCTCAAGAATAGTCTTAAGAACTTCAAAAGTCCCGTTTTTATCATATTTATAACATTTCTACAACTGTAAAATTTCCAACTGCCAGGTCGCTAGAGAATCTTTCAAAATGTGATTTTTGTCTTTTATATAACTGTTAAATGATAAGATGTGTCTTTAAAAGTTAATTAAGAGTCGCTTTACAAATCTTTTCCAAACTTTTTTACAACATTAAAATTTCAGGCCGCTAGGTCGCTGGGCCGCCATCTCCACAAAAATGATTAAATTAAAAAAGTTTTCTCAAAGTGATTTTTTTTCTTTTTATATATCATTTAAATAACAAGAATTGTCTTATAAACTTCATTAAAGGCAGTTTTATTGTTTAAATAACATTGAAAATTTTTGGCCGTTAGGCCGCTGGGCCGCCGGGCCGCCAACTTCACAAAAATGATAGAAAAAATCTCTCAAAGTGATTTTTTCTTTATATATACCTTTTGTCACAAAGTAAACCATTTCGTAAATGCTCAGAAGTGCTTTCAGTACTTTGATTTTTACATAGTTTGTAAATGCTCAGAAGTGCTCTCAGTACTTTGATTTTTGTAGTATTCTATTTTCATGCAGAACCTCAGTTTTATACTAAATCAAATATAAATTATTGTATCACCTTTTTGTAAAATTCAGATTTATCGAGTGAAATTACTTATTTCAGTATTTTTATTTATTGCTTAAATTTCTTGGTATCATTCCAAGCATTTTGACAAATTTTTCATAAGATTCGGTCCAGTAATAAGAAAGTTAGATTTTTGTGATAAAGTGTAAATTTATATATGGTCTATAAATTTGATATTCGGGCCTGTATATTTTGTTATACATGTGTTCTGGAATGCAAAAAAAAATCGTGAAAGTTATGTTCAGGATAACTATGCATATACATGTATATTGAACGATTTTAAATCTTGGTAGGAAATATCCATGGTACACAAATATGAGGGTATAAGTATGTCCCTTTGGAAAAGCCGGACCTTTGTCGGATTCCTATAACATGTATAAACAAAGCTTCTAAAAATATAATGACCCTTATGGAACGCCATACACCCTGGTGTAATAAATTCAACGTTGATTATATATCGTAGCACGTCGTAAGATATAAAACATAAAAGCAGACCGGATGTCACCTAAATATCGACGAAATCCTTCCCTGAATCGAATCAATATTATTTCGTACAAAAAAATAATGATGATGTAGTGATATGAAAATTACTTTAAGAAAGAAGAATTATATAAAAAGAACATCTGCAGCAGACTTAATTATAAATGACTTTTACTGTATTAAACATGAACAAGAAAACTTATTTTAGTAAATAAACATGAAACATATGCATGATAAAATAACGTACGTGCACTAAAGGCGTTAACGGCCTTCCATACATACAACAACTATCAATGATAATAAAAAGAATTACAAATATTCAAGTACTGAATGAAACACAAGAGTCATAAATCTACAGAAGACAAAAAATAAGAGAACGAAACATTACTGTCAAAATGCAAAATAAAATTTCTATAAAACGAATATGTAATAAAAATTTAACTGAATTACGATCTTCTGAAATAACAAAAATCTACTTAAATAAACAACAAGAAAAGAAAATTTACCTTGCGCAAGCTTAAAAATTTACACCGCAAGAATAAATTTGTCTGTATATAATGACCTTGTGCGTCTTTACACGTCTGAATGTGAGTCCCAAAGAAGATTTAAAATCGTTCAATATCTATGCATAGCTATCCTGAGCAGAAAGCGTGAAACATAACTTACACGATTTTCTTACATTCCATAACGCATGTATAACAAAATATACAGGCCCATAATATCAAATTTATGGACCATAAATAAATTTACACTTTATCACAAAAAATCTAACTTTCTTATTACTGGACCGAATTTTATGAAAAAATATGTCAAAATGCTTGGAATGATACCAAGAAATTTAAGAAATAAATAAATTTACTGAAATAAGTAATTTTACTTCATAACTCTGAATTTTACAATGATGCAATAATTTACATTGGATTCAGCATTAAACTGAGGTTCGGTATGAAAATGGAATACATGCACTACAAAAATCAAAGTACTGAGAGCACTTCTGAGCATTTACAAATTATGTAAAAATCAAAGTACTTGAAAGCACTTCTGATCATTTACAAAATGGTTTACTTTGTGACAATACGCCCCCCTTAAAATAAGAAAATTGATAAATTTTCTTTAAACATCACAAAGTGAAACAATATGATGAAACTGACATGTTATACAACACTGTACATAATATATAACCACCTTTTATACTATACCACACTTCTGCTAAAAAAATACTCTATCTTTACCAAACTACCTCCGGTTAAAACATTAAACTCTACTTAAATAATCAGCTCCTACATTTTCTCTACCTGTAATCGCTCTGATTCTCATTCTTTATGGTTGCAAAAGCAACGACCATCTCGTTATTCTTGAGTTATTTAATTTTGCCTTGTTAAGATAAGTGAGAGGTTGGTGATCAGTCTCCAGGATAAATTCCTTACCATATAAGTACCTGTGGTATTTAGATATAAACCATACGATTCCTAAACATTCCTATTTTTATTACAGAGTACCTTTGTTCTGTTGGTAACAATTTCCTACTAGCATAAGCTACTAGGAATTTTTCCTCACCTTGTTCCTGAAGTAAAACTGATCCTTATCCAGTACCAGATGCATCCACTCTAAGAATGAAAACACATATCAAAATCTGGAAATTTTAAAATTAGCGGACTTGTCAAACTAGCCTTAAGAGTTTGGAAAGCCCTTTCTTGAGTTCTCCCTACTCAACATTTGGTTGAAACTTTTTCGTCAAATCGGTCAATGGAACAGCAATGGCGGCAAAATTTGGGATAAATTTCCTTTACTATGAAACAACCCCCAAAAAATTGACGAACCGGCCGCCAGGCCGCCAACTTCACAAAAATAGTAAAATCAAAATGTTCTCTGAACAATATTTTTTTCTTTTTATATACCTTTTAAATATCAAGAATAGTATTGAGAACTTCATTATGTCTCGTTTTTATCATATTTATGACATTTCTACAACTATAAAATTTACAACTGCCAGGTCGCTAAAGAAAAAACAACCTTTCTTAATGTGATATTTTTTCTTTTATATAACCGTTAAATGATAAGATATGTCTTTAAAAGTTTATTAAGAGTCGTTTTTCAATTCTTTTCCAAACTTTAACAACATTAAAATTTCAGGCCGCTGGGCCGCCAGGCCACCAACTTCACAAAAATAATAAAATAAAAAATCTCTTAAAGTGATTTTTTCTTTTTATATATCTTTAAACATCAAAAATAGTCGTGTCCCGACTTTATCATATTTATAACTTTCTACAACAATAAAATGTCCGGCATTTTAAATAAAAAGCTTTCTCAAAGTGATTTTTTTCTTTTTATATATCCTTTACGTAACTTAAAATAACAAGGATTTAGAACATCATTAATTGTCATTTTTATAACATTACAACGCCAACTTTATACCGCCAGGTCGCTGGGCCGCTAGGCCGCCAACTTCACGCCGCCATACCGCTGGGCTGCTAGGCCGCCAATTTCACGCCGCCAGACCGCTGGACCGCTAGGCCACCAACTTCACACATCTCTTTAAATCTACAAAAACTACCAAAAAATAGGTCACAATATGCAAAAATAGTTCTTATAACGTCAGTCAGACAAAAGATATATGGTAAGTTCTATTTATCATATAATTTAATTGTTGAAATTAAAAGAGCTGTTATTTTGGTTTGTTATACGTTATGTCCCAGAAATGATATTAATGGACTTCTTTAACGGTCAGTCCTATAGATTCGAAATACTTTTCTGTAAGATTTCGTTTTAAAGCTTGCTTAACGTTGAAGCATTGCAGAAACTTAGAATAACGTTGTGAATGAAGCTGATGGTTAAAACAATGGAATTAGTATTTGGTGTAAATTCTTTAAAGCAATTATTTTAAATGGAAGATGTTTCCACGATATCAGAAGTGGAATTAGCTTATGACGCGATTGTTTGTGATACTTTATAACTTTGTCGTCTCTTCGTGTTTTCGCTTTTTCGCATTTTTCAAGGCAAGTAAGCGAAATTACGACAGAAGGAAGGCGAAAGTACGACACATAAAATCTGTCGTATATTCGCATTCCATCTGTCGTATTTTCGCTTTTTTGCAATGTTACACTTTTGCATTGTTGCATTTCGATTTTTCGCATTGTTACATTTTCGCATTGTTACATTTTCGCTTTTTCGCATTGTTACATTTTCGCGTTCCGGTTTGCACATGCGCCTGGAGACATCAATCTGAAAATACCTAAACGTTACAATTAATGACATTTTTGGTCTCATTAGTTTATTGTTTCCCTGCGTTAAGGTACCTGAACTTAAAGAAATTCACAGTATAATAAACATAGTTCTTAAACGCACAGTATATCTATCGATTTTTTAATCTAAATTTTAATCAAGATTGATGATATTTTTAAAAACTTGCTATATCTGCAATATGGGGAAGACAGAATGACAATCAAGAGATCTTTGTTTTAAAGACTTGAGGAACGCCTGACAACATGGTATAATGTATTAATGAATAAAAATGATTTTAAATATTATTTTATACGTGTATATATTTTAAATGCAATAGAAGCCTCTGAAGAAGGCTGAATGATCGGAAACTATGACGACCAAATGTTTTCATATGTTGTTTTCTTCTTTCTTTTTTAATTTTTAATTTAAACCATCAAACTTTTTTTCAAACTTAATCCAACATGCTCTCTACGTAATCAAATAAAGTATGTCTTACAAACTTCTAGTACTAGAATTAACGACATTATAAAATGTTTTCCAGTGAAAATACACCTCAATCACAGACATATCTATTTTAAGATTGTGTGGGCAGTGCCATTATCACACCCGTCAGCAAAGTAAACTGATAAACTAAAGATGGTAGGAACAAATTACTGTATTTATTATAAATAACTGTTGCATTAATTGATTAAAACAGGTTTGATTTTGGGATAATGTTCATCCTAACGGCATTTTTAGTACAAGCAAGTAGTTGGGCTTACTTAGTAATTTCGAGTACGCTGAATTCATTTTTTGTTCTACCACGGCTTTATTTTCAGTTCAAAATGATCGCCATTGTTTTTTTTATTTTTACTTTAATGCTCCTATAGGCAAAATAAAACACACCTTTTTGAAATTTAATTGAAAGCTTATTTTAGTCGGCTTAAGTGTGAACGAGAAGAAAAAATGAGGAAAAAAGATAAATATAATGCGGCAGCCATGTTGTATTTAAAATGGCTGACAATTCCCTTTGTTTCTATATACTGTTTAATATTTAAATGTAAACACGCGCAATAAGGCTTTTTACTTGGCTTGTTTATTTTTATAATAATAACATTCTCCGACAACGTCGGAAGTTTTTTCAATTTAAATTTCTTTTATTATAATAAATAAAATGATGACTTTAGTCGACAACAAAATATATAACTTAAGATCTAGGTCACGATAAGATACTGTATTATGGACAAGACCTAAAATAAATTATATACCTTTAAATATTCGTAATGTTAATAACCTTAAATGTTTTAAAGAAAAATACAAAACATACCCTGATGTTCATATGAATGAATGAATATATGAATGAATGAACAAATGAATGAATGAATGTATGAATGAATGAATGTATGAATGAACGAACTAATAAAGCAATATACGTACATGTTTAAACAAGTTATTAAGTGACAGTCGAAAGAATATATGTTGTTTTATTAAAAAAAATACATATTATACATTCATTTTTTCTACCTATGCATGTTCAGCTACTGTTGTTGTTGTTCTTTTCTATTTCAGAAGGCCACGTTGGAAATAAGATATATATTATTGTTATTGTATGTGTCATAATGGTTAACCTTCTTTAAATAAAGATATTATTATTATTATTATTATTATTATTATTATTATTATTATTATTATTATTATTATTATTATTATTATTATTATTATTATTATTATACTATTTAAGACTTTCCAGGGCGAACTAAAAGAGACATCCATTAAAACTGCAAACTTAATGGTGCAAAAAGGTCACAATTTATACCAAACTAAATGGGAATCATATTGCGTTAGTCATTTTGGTGTTATGTTCATACTTCCAAACATAAAAAAATGTTATTTTAATCTATTGCAACGTTTTGGGTTTTTTTATTCAATTAGTTTTTATCGCCTGAGGCTTGAGGAAAGACTGCTCAAATGTCTGTCCATCCGTCCGAGCGTCCTCATGTGCTAGTAACGTATATTTGACGGTTTCCCAGTTGGCGTTGAGATTAATTCCGTATACGCTCAACTTTAAGAATAAATCATTGGTTATTGGGAGGGCGGTGGAAAAAAAAGGTGCATTTGAAGTTTGAAAAAATAATGAAGATCACAAACATCGAGACAATGTCACAAGGTAGTCCAAGATTTAAAGCTCAATGCTTCAAGTTAGACTTGAATGTGCTTGAAAATCCTCAGCCCAGTTTAGGGTTCTGTCATTCATTGTTGAATTTTAAAATAATTTAGCATAAATACGCGGCTGAAATTTATACAATGCTATTGTACAAAACGAATAATACAGTAAACAAACGAACCAAAATATTTATTGATATTCTAAATCAAATTTAAAGAAATGCATTAGCGCATACGGCTGCGACGACATTTTATTTAACCAGCATCAC